TGCAGTGGAGCCAAGAAGTCACACTCAAAATAAGAACCAGGGCTGCCCTGAAAATTATCGCAGCCAGCCTCAGCAATGAGAAGGTCCCACGCTCCTGTGACAGTAACAGTCAAGCACACACCAGAAAGCAAACATGACAAGCTTCTCCTGGAGATCAAACAGCATACATCTTTCCCTCTGGAGCCAGGAAGTGATGCTCAGTGCAAGGAGCAGAGCTCCCCTAAAATGAACCACAGCCACTCTCCCCAGCAAGGTTCCAAGCTCCTCTGATGATAATGGCTAAACTCACATTGGGGAAGCTAGTCATGACAAGCTCCTCTAGGAATCAATGGCTTGAAACAACACTTAGGAGAGCCCACAATTCTCAGCTCTTGTTCTCTATGTCTCTATTGATGCTGCCAACTTTCCTTAGGTGGACTATCTACACTCAGCACCATGCTGATTTAATTCAGCTGGTGTTAAATTGATCACCAGTTTTTAATCCAAAAATGTATACTTAAAATCAGGAAATATGTTAACTGCAGTTTTGTTGTTCTTCTTGTATTTTAGGTATTTGGTGATTAGATACAAACTTTTCTATTTCTGAATAAAGAAGGCCACTGTAGTCTGGATAAACATTGCTTTAAGACAACCGTTCTCTTTGGACAGTATGGACAGTTTAGTGATAAGCCTCCCCAAAAGTACAAGAAGAGAAAGAAATGATAGGCAAGTGGGTCTACATCAAACTAAGAAACTTCTGCTCACCGAAGAAAACAGCATAGTGAAGGACAACTTACAGGGAGAAAATATTTGCAAATGTGTTAAGAAATTCACATGTAAAGTAGAAAAAGAAACCCAGCAACAAAACACCAAACAAAACAACAACAAAAATTTACAATGGGAAAAAGATTTACGTATATATTTTTCCATTAAAGACCTACATGTGGCCAACCGATACACAAACATATGCAAGCTCACTAATCCTCAAGGAAATGCAAGTCAAAGTCTTATGTGAGGTCACCCAACAATTGCTTAAATGGCTAACAGTAAAACAAAAAAAAAAAAAAAAAAAACACTGGAAATGATGTGAAGAAATTGAGACTGTGGTAGTTTCAAACTGAGAAGGGTCAGTTATTGACCTTCTCGTTGGATGGAAGAATTGACCAGGAGTTTCACAATTATTTCCTGAAGCCACTAATGAATTAATACAATTGATCTTAGTTAATGTATAAGAATTTCTTTCACAAAACTACAAGACAGAAATTTAAAAATAGACAAGAACATAAGGAATCCTAAAATATTTTGCAAGGTATACAAAGAGGAGTGCTAAATGCTATTGACCCTATTTACATATACTTGAATTCATATATTGCACAAATTCCTTTAACAAATCAATGTAGTTGAGGCAACTGAGTGGCCCAGTGTTTTTACATTCTTTCTGGAACTTGGTTTTTTAATCTGTAAAATAAAAATTGGGTTGGATAACTAGGCAACATGTCTCTACCAAAGAGTGCCTACCAAGTACAAGGTGAATATACTACCCTCATGTTTATCATGATGTTTTAATTTTGTATTTTTCTCATATAAAATTGTATAAAAATAAAAACATTGTCTTATCAAGTATGCTTATACTCCAGATCTGACAGACATTTAATTGCTTATTTCTGGTTGGTGTAGTGAAATTAAAATAAAAAATTATTTCTTTGTAATTAATGCCAATTACAATTCTTGTTCAATTGAATAAAATTACTGATATGTTGGAGATGATTCAATTAAATAATCCAAGTGACTCTACTATTGCTCACCTATCACATTTTTTCTGCATACATAATTTCTAAGATGTATAAACTCTCAAAAATCCTCCAAAAATAAAATCTTCTTAAAAATTCAGTAACGCAGTGAGAACAGATATCCTTTCTTCTGTTCATGACAATATCAATTTGTTCTCCATAATATTTCATAATGTAATCTACCAAGATTGTTAATTAATTCCTTTAGAAACTATTAACTGGTAAAATCGAGACTCTAAGCAATGTCCTTCTAGTTCTTCTTTGGCATTAACTGTGTTTGCCACTAATCATTGAGAACTTTTGCATCTATTTCATTAATGAATTCATTCTATAGTTTCATTGTTTATTGTGTCCTTATCCAGTTTTGGGATCAGTTTGATACTGGTTTTTTAGAATGAGTTGTGAAATGCTCTTCCCATATTTGCAAATTTGGAAATAGTTTGGAGAATAGTTTAGAATAGTTTGAAGAATTTTGGTGTTACTGCGTCTTTAGTAGTCTGACAGATTTCAGCAATGGGTCTCCCAGTCCTGATCTTTTCTTTGTTGGGAGTCTTTATTTATTACTACTTCAATGTCACTGGTTATTATGAGCTCTCTTTTCTCTAACAGAGAGCTACCTGCCCATCACATAGCTCCTGTATTCAAATCAGTTCTTCAGATTTGAATTCTTTGTCCTTTGAAGAATACCTGAATACGAAGATGCTCCCAGATTTCTCTTTCAGGATAATGTACTGATTTGCACAGATGCTGGGAATGCTACCTACTGACAGCTATCCCTCTTATGGGTCACTTGCTCAATGGACTGAGAGACACAGAGGTGTAAGATCCCAAGACTCAGCCAATTTGTGACTGTTATACAAAATATCCATTAATTTGGGTGAAGCCCAGTTCTAAGTTCATTATAGCTCATTGTGTCCAATATGTCATCCTCCTCCTTTCTTCCAATGTGTTTACCCTAACAATGCTTTCAGTACACTAACATCTGACTCAGGTGGTATTTTCCCAGGAAACTGACTTGAAATCTATTTAAAACACCTCAACGTGAGAACACTGTTATCCAAGGAACATGTTGCCTGTCCGTAGAATTCTACTGCAAAACTTCACAAGCCTGTGTTGTTTTCTGAATTCCATATTGTATATTGATGTGTTGTTAATCTTGATTGCCAATTTGACTACATTAAGAGACTTCTAAGAGGATAATTGTATTGCGAGGACACTAGTGTCATTGATGGAATAAATGATGAGTTTATAACTGAATGGGCTATTAGGAAGTGGGAGCTAGTTATAGGAAGTACTCATGACCTTGAGTACTGTCTGGGGTTCCTGGTCCCTTCAACTGTGGTGCTGTTCTCTGTGCTCTGCTTCCTGGCCACCATGAACCGAGTAGCTTTGCTCCACCACACCCCTCATCCATAATATTGCTGCTGCCTGGGACGTAGCTGAAAATGCACTGAAACTGAAAAGGAAGAACCATACAATAGAAATTGTTCTTTTCAAAACATTACTCTTTTGAAATTGACTCACTCTAACTGCTTTACTGCTTTGTAACTACTTACTTGACCCCTACAACTGAACATACAGGATTCCTGCTTGTATCTGTGTACCAAGCTTTATAAATTGATTACCATTGATCTACTCTTGTAACTGATGATCTCACCCCGGCTAGCTCATCAGAAGCACAGCGAGGCTGTTGTATCTCACTTTGTTCCTCCTTTGCATCTCCTGCTTGTGCGTCATACAGAAGTCCTAGACCATCAGAGACTGGGGCCTGATACTCTGGGAATAATGTCAATAAGTGCCCTTCAATGTAAAATAAATCTGTCTCCAAATCCTAGATTTCATTTCAGTGTTTCTGGTTGCCATTGCAAAATCTCTGAAACTTGAGCCTCTCCTGTTTTATATTACAGATGTCAAGTATGTGCCAAGCACCAAGAAGGATGATATAGAACCACTGAGCATTTTATTCACTGCTTTTTAGTGTTTCTAGTATAATGCTATCTTCCATGAAGTGATGTGTTATATTTATGCCATGCACTTCTTTGAGTAGGTACTGTTGAAATGAATATGAATATGGTAGAGTTTCCCAGCATAGAGTTCAACATTAAGATTTTTGAGTTTAAATTTTAGATCTGCTGTTACATCCTAAATCCTTAAAAAATTTAACTACTTACTATTAGTGGATCCAGGACCCACTTCCTATAACTAGCTCCCACTTCCTAATAGCCCATTCAGTTATAAACTCATCATTTATTCCATCAATGACGCTTGCTATTAATGGAGGTAGTATTAAAAACTGATATTACAACCTGCACAAGTTATCTTTAGCACAAGATTAACTACTACGTATGAATCACTTATAGCATCTAACACAGAGTAAATGTTATTTATGTACTATTATTTACTTTTTCCTTAATATCTTTAGGTTTGAAACACATCTAATTTTTGATATTTTTAGATTGAACAGGAAAAAAATTACATAATGGTAGTGGTTTTTTTGTAGTGGGCATCTATGTAACAATAACAGAATGAAAAAATAAACTGAAAGTAACAAAAAACAGAAAAGGAAGTAGGTTAAAGTGATAAAGAGGTTAATGGGCTGTCTATGAACATCATGTATTTCAGTCACCAAAATCTATATATTTTACTGTCATCATTTGTAGCATGAATACTTTAAAATTTCATAGAACTTCACAGCTTACAAGGAACTTAAATTTTTCCTGCTTAACTGAGGCAATACCAATCTAATACACTCACTCACTGTGTTATTCTAAAGTAGTCTTCTAAACATTCAAACATAAGGTAGTATTTAATCCCCCAGAAACTATTACAGTTATTATGTCATCTGTCTTATTAATTAGGAAACACTATACTGGAGAAGAAAATTGGACCCAAATCCTATTCTAGAATACCCTTTCCAGGAAAAATGTCACTAAGACAAGAACAGAGTTTAAACTCCTTCTTGATATACTTAAAAATCTACTAGAAATACTTGTGCAAATGACTTGGAAAATAAATGACTTCAAAAATTTGTTTTCATTAAATTTTACTTTTTAAATTTTCTGCCTTTGTTTCCACTGATAGATTTATACCGTTACCATACTTTATATGACTTGAATCATTTATGATGTGTTTCTCATTGCATTTTTTGAAGGTTTGCATCCATATATCCCAGTTCTAAGTGAACATGTAAATACATTTTAAAGCATAGAAACGATCTGAAGAGTCTAAACATTCATGGCAAGTAATACATTTATTTGTTCAATTATATAATTCTAGCAAAATAACCAAGTTCTTAAATTTCTAACTTTGAGAGGCTGCATCAATCTAAATCTTATATTCTGTCTCTTTCTGTCTCAAACTCATAGTTTACTCCATGAACAAAAAAAGTTTCAAATTAAAAGAGATAATAGGAACAAGAATGATAGGTGAATTTCAGCTCTTCCTTAGCAATCTTCTGAGTTTGTAGCATAAGCAGACTTCTCACACAGGCACGAGGAGGGTGCACTGCAGCTCTCAATGCCAATCTTCTGCTTATGCAAAAAGACACACTTCCCCTGGGAATCCACACTTGGTTCTGGCAGATTCCTGAGCAATTAGAAAACAAGATCCATTAGTCAATCATGTGTTAAAATGAAATGGCCTAACCTTAGAACTTCTAATGAAATCTGTTTATACCATGGGCTGTGAGGAGGGTAAAAATTCTTCTCCCTCTTAGGTGTTTGTAGAAGAAATAACAACCAGTTTTATAGAGTATGGTACTGATATGTAAGTAAAAAAAATACACTTGTGTAGAGGAAGAGGCTCAATTGGCTGAAACAGTTTAACATTAACTTTCAAGATGAAATAAATGTATGTAAAAGTAAATTAGAATGCAAGTGAGCTTGCTAGAAGCCACTTAACTTTTCATGTATAAGTACAGATAAAAATGGTATGTTTTACTTAAAAATGCATTTCATCAGACATAAAGGTCAGACAAACAATAATGAACTTTAGAAAAAAAAATATATATATATATATGTAAAATATGTTGGCACAACCTCCTGTGATACACGCTTCAATGTAAAAAAAATTATCACTCAGGGAGATACCACAGAGAAGATGCTGGTAAGTATTCTGATTGAATTTTCCATGACTGGAGATCTGAGGTTTGAGGTCAACATCAACAAGACAACCTCTCAACACTAGCACAAAACTGTTTCTGTGACATAGTTTCTGATAAAGGTAAATTTTTCTGCTCAACTATTAAGCACACAATATATTTCATTCCAAAGTGCCAGGGGAATATGAAAAAGAAAAATTATGAATTATTAGTAAATAAAAACTGTCAAAATACTTTATACGATCCTAATTTATTGGTTTCTGAGGATTCTATATCCTAAACGTTGCACAAAGTTTGAAGGGTAAGAGATCTACCCACAACAAAATTCCAGTAAGTAAAATCATTACTATGAATGTAAAGTAAGGCCGGATGTGGTGGCTCACCCCTGTAATCCCAGCACTCAGGAGGCTGAGGCAGGAGGATCATTGAGAATTCGAAACCAGCCTGGGCTACAAAGTAAGCTCAAGGCCAGCCTGAACTGCATAGTGAGACCCTGTCTCAAAAAGACAAAAAAAAAAACAACAAAGTAAAAGTAGACTCATAACTTGATATATAGTACAGGCAAGTCCAGAAAAATATCCCAGTATGTTTATATAAAATATTCACACACATTTTGAAGTATTTAAATTACATTAGGTCGATGTAAATTATTTAAATAGTCTGTTAAATATTACAAATAAACATTAAACTTTAATGAGTTATAAAATATGACTACAAGTAAAGCAAAATAAATCATTTAAACAATAATCTGCATTATTTAGTTGGTATATGTAAATATATATATAGGAAAAGAGAGACAGTGAGAATTATGTCTGCATATGCATACACAAGTGTATACAGTATCTCAAATTTTCCTCTCATGTCCGAAAATAAATTTTAAATGAATAAAGACAATTTCAGTCAGTAAAATGTTAAATATTTATTCATGTAATGAAGATAAAAAGACTTAAAAAATAAAATAGTAAAGAAAAATGGCAAATCTTCAGGAAAAACAAGTTATATTTTAACATAACAAGAAATTTATGCCCGGAACTAAAACATACATAAGAAAAACAGGTAATAGTTTGTCTACAGCTTACAGGATAAATGTCGCTAGAAGCATTAAAAGAATATTAAATAAAAGCACAAGACAAAAAAGTAAGCTATCAAAATTGCCTAATCTTTGAAACAATATCTAAAACTGATGAAACTATTTGCTATGTTTTTTCCTATAATTATTTAACACTGTTTCTGGAGGTCAAATATCTAGTTAAAACTCATTTAAATATCTAGTTAAATATCTGAGTTTAAATATCTAGTTAAAACTCATTTAAAGCAGTCCAAGTAATTGGCTGGGGAAAAACAATTTGTGCTCCATATAGAAAGATGTTAATCTCAACATATTCAATACCAAAATTACATTCAATCAAGCCAATTAACAATAAAAGTGTATTACCATTAGAGTCACGTCAAGAGATATTGTATCCACATATTATGAAATATCTAAATGACTTCAGGATTTATAATTATAATCACAATACATTATAATCAGGATTATATTATAATCACAATATTATACGAAATAACAGGAGCAAGCCATGAAAATTCTGACCTCAGGAATCTTCTCTATACTCCCTGATTTATAAACAAAAGGACACTAGGATACCGAGAAAGGAGTAAAGAATATCCGACCAGACACTCACAGGCCAAGTGAAGGAGAGGAGCCGTCCCCCCATTTCCACTGGTTCTCCTCCTCCTTATAAGACAGGCCAAGCCAAGTACGATTTCCTGAAAGTAATTTCATGATGTTCTGCATGAAGACAGAATACATGAAGTTCCTTATTAATAGAGCATAAGAAGTGACAAGTATGAATTTGTGCCAAGAAATGAAAGAATCATAAAAGAACAGCCATCTATTTAAGCTCTCTGATAAATGAGACATCAAAAACAATATTTATTACTTTAGTGTCTGTCTATTTTTCAAACCACAATTTCAGTACAGAGAAGGATGCAGACAGCTAATGGAAGGATTCACATCAAGGGCACTACACCACAGCATGAATTACTTTTCTTAATTCCTTCATGATTTATTCAACTCTATCCTTCAATCTTGAGATGTACAACTGGGCGATGATCCCTGCTTTGGAGAGATTTGGGGCAAATAAAATTAAGCTACATACATGGAAATTATATGGCATATAAGGAAACATTCTTTGAAAGGTTAGAGTGGGGAAAAGGGGCCTAAAAATACAAAGGAGGGTATCTGAGAAGATGTGCAGGTGGTGATTTTTGACTAGGACGATTGGGAAGTCCTTATCACTAAGAGTGTGCTCACTAAGTAGGTACTTAAGGTGTGTCTTCAAGTGAGCAGTGAGCAATGGTTCTATATGAGGAAATGCTGAATGCAGAATGCTCTACAATGCAAAAGTCCTACAGCAAGAGATAACTGGGTGAAAGGAATAAAAACCTTGCTGAAGTAGGGACATCCAGAAACACCATACACAATGATGCAAGAAGATCCTTTTCAAAGCTGCCAATGAGGCTTTCTGTATAGTTCCTACTCAATGTTCATATCACAGATGTAAAGAAGAAAGTCAACTTTACCATCAACATACTCCTCTCAGACTCCAAAAATGTACCATTTGAAGAAACACAAAGATCTGAGCAGTTTAGCCAGGAAACCATTTCTACAGTTTGATAGTAGCAGCGGTCTCTGTACTGCAGCCGGTGGTGGGGAGGATGTGCACACATGTGTCCTGGGGAAAGAGTGTTTGTAATAGAACCCACAGAACCTCACACACGAAGCCTTCATGCTTCACAGCCTTCCCACTTGAAAGAATGGAACTGATGAAAAGAATCGGTACCAGCTCAAAACACTCTCACTTGCAGATTACCTTCTTTGGCTGATAGTTCTTGCACAGCCTCAGTGAGATAAGCGTTCTGTTTTTGGATCCTCTCGAGGATTTCTGTAGGAAACAGAATCAGATGAAAATGCCATTGCATCTGATTTATATGCTATTTCAAAAGCTACATAAAGATAGTAATCAAGTGCTAAAACTTGCATTTTTGTTCAAGTCACTTTTCCTGCTGAATTAGTTGGCTGAAACATTTGATTATTAAGATATTAGCTTTTTAACTAGAGTAACTATTGAAGAATTCTGAATTTCTTGTTTCAATTGTTCATCATTTGCTTAGTCTCTCAAAGCCAAAGAGAATATGTTAATGCAAGGCTTTTATAAAATATTCATCATGAGCATAAACTGTTTTTATATTATGCTTTACCTAGTATGAAGAAGTATGATTATATTGGTATTTTAAACTCTTCTTAAAGAGGAACATAAATACTGTGAAATTATCATTTTTCAGGTACTTAAGTTCTGTTTCTGGGTTTCTTGAATATCTTGTATAAACTGCAATAGGATGTTCTGACACACTGGTTTATTTTTAGGCCATAAGATGTCCTGAAAACTTCCCAAGTGTAGGACTCATATTGTTGATTACCAGTCTAGTACCTGGATGCATTGTACATTGAATAAATGTGAATCAGTGATTATATGTGAAAATTAGTTAACTTAGAAAACTATGTTGACAATGAATTAGTTTTTTATAAACTCATTGCATTTCATAAGCTGGCATACTACATGATGAGATCAAAAAATAAGACTGTTTATATTTTTAAAAAATTTTCCACAGTAAAAGACACTTTGCTATGGAACATCCTTCCCCAAAACTTATTCTCTTTCACTTTAGACACATTTTCCCCATTTTTTTTGTTACTGCTTGAAGCAGTTCTGGAAATCTATGGCCTTGCCTTTAGTTGGGCCATCGGGAATAAGCCTAACATCCTCAATTAATTCAACAACTTGAATTAATTCAAAACATTTAGCTGTCATGGTCATTTTGACTTTCAGGAAGAACCAGAAGTTGCATAGTGACAGAGCCAAGAAATAAAACAGATGAGGACACAACATAACATTTTTGTGAGCCTACTTTTCTGTTCGATGGCACTTAGTAGGAGCATTCACCATACTTTTTATCATATTCTCTAAAGACACTCACAAAAGAGGAGTTCCAGAATTGCTTCAGAAAATGGGAAGAAAGATAGGATAAGTGTGTTGAGTGAGTGTGTTAAAAGGCAGATCATTTGTAGGGGGATTAATGGCAATGTGTCTTTCACTGTAATTTTTTTTACAATTTAAACATTCTTTGCATATTTTGACCACAGCTCAAAAAGCACCCAAAAACCTACCAAAACTATCATGCTGCTATATTATAATGCTCCCTCTTGAATAAAATCACTATATTTACCTTAGCTCTGCAAGAAACAAAACAATCTAGCACTCTGTAGAGATAGTTTTTCCCAGCTCTAATATTACCTTTATTTTGGTTGGCAACATTTTGGACCTGAGGAAATATTTCTGCTTTGATTTGGAAATAATCAATCCATTGATTAAGACTCTTCATCTTTTTCTCTGATGCCTGAACACTTTGAAAGTCTAAGAACAAACGTTCAAAACATGAATCAAATACATGCTCTATTATGAAACAGTGGCTTTAAGTGTGTTTTCAGTTATTCAATAATATTCCTAAAATTCGTATCTTAAACTGAAGTATCACCTTTAAATAAAGTTCAACATATGTGTTCCTAGTAGGACAATTGTTCAATTGACAATATCAGCAACAACAACTAGGTGCTTGAACAAGCTTTGTTATCAAGAGTGTTTAAGTTAATGCTTGTAATTTTATTCTCTAATCAAAATTTTAGAATTTTAAGTTTCTAACTAATATTATCACTAAGCAGATAATTTTATTACAGATAAAATATTTTATAGATACATTTTATAATGCAGAGGACACTGACATTTAGAAAAAGATTATAAGAAACATTTTATCTGAAAAGTAATTATAGTTGCAAGTTCATTAAGCTAAATTCCTTATTCAATTATAATTTTCAAAATAAATCACTCATTACAGTCAATATACCTAGAGAAATGACAATCACATAACCTGACTCAGTAAAATGTGAAGTTGTTAAGAGCTCATAAGATTAAGATCATTCATTCCGTGGGATTTTTTACTATTCTCTCTTTAGCATGGCAATAAAACATATACCAAAAGGATTGCCTGATATGTGTTTAAAGAAATATGATAACCTGACAGAAGCAATCTATTCCTTTTTTCCCTCAATTAATCAGACTTACACTGATAACCAAAGAAACCACACAATATCAAAAGCAGCAGGCTGAAGATACCCAGGATCACAGGAAATATTCCACATACGGAGTAGGACAAAGAAGGAGCTGAGAAATAGAAACAATGTTAAATGAAAAGTTGCATGAGCTCTTGTCATTTGAAACATTAATATCAACTGTGCATCTTATATTATTCTCAAAATGCTCTGAATTTTTAAAAAGATAATATCCAATGTGTGTATTCATGTTATCTACCAGACTAAATGAACAAAAAAATACTTAAGAGTGTGGATAGAAAAGATTTAGTGTATTAGATGTGTTAGTTTCTGGCGAGGCCATTCACTGTGTAGCTCAGACTGGTCTTGAGCTCACTACATAGCCTAGGCTGGCTGCAAATACAGCAATCCTCCAGCCTCAGTCTCCTAAATTCTGGGATTATAAGCACAGGCCACCAAGCCTGGAAGCTCTGCTATCTTTGATAGATTGCCTTATAAAATTGCCTTCGGCTGGCATCAGAAAACTTAGATTTGAAGAAAGTTTCCATCACCAAAGAGTGCCTTCCCATAAGCACACTCTTTGTACAAGTGGTGCTCTATATATTGGATACCTGCCTTCCTTCTGGAAATCTAGAATTGCTATATGCCAGCTAAAAGCTGCCTAGGTGATCAGCACACACTAAAGATACTGTACACTCAACCTCTAATGAGTTCCTTGATTTCACAGCAGTTTTCTAACTCTTTGCTGGGGATTTAGCGGGGCTTCCATGACACTGCTGGGCAAAGCCCAGAGATGTTGGTGCCTGGTCTCTCCACACTTCACTGCTCTGACCATTTTCCTTTGATGATTTGTTTGTTATCTTTTCCCTATCATAAATCTTAGAGCTGAGTAACTTATATACTGAGTTCTTTAAAGCTTCCTACTGAATCAGCAAATCAGAGCATGATCTTGCTGATCTTTAACACATGCAAAAATATCACATGCAAGCTGTTAGTAAATTTCCTTAAATACCAGTTACAAAACGTTGGTTCAGATTACATTATCCTCATTAATGTGATCTAATAAGGAAATGTTTAATTTTTCTAATAAAAATAAATTATTTCTCTATGCTTAACTACCAGCATTCTTGCCTCAGAAAGTATTCAACTAGAGGATTTTTGCATTTAGGTTCATCAACATGTATAAATTTTAATTCTATAAAAATAAAATGTTCCATCCCCACATTCCACCTAGAAATTAAACTCTCACAGCAATGTTCATATTCTTTTTATTCATATATTTATTTCCCTCCTGAATATATTTGTACACTCTAATACAGAATTATTTTCTTATGGAAGAATTGTACATATTTTTAAAGAATTGCACATTTGAAACAAAGCAAAGCTTCCATGAAAGAAAATGCAATGTCAAAATCGAACCTAATGTCAAAAATATTTCAAAATTTTCTTCAGCAAATACAAGGTTATAATACAACTATAAAATATGCTATAACCCAGTGATTATAATCAAGACAATTTGTTTGACCAGCGGACAGCTGTGAATACCTGGGAATGTCTGCTATCATAACTGAGGAACAAGTGATAGTGTCATTTGGGGTGAAAGCAAGGTCACTTTTAAACACCCTGAAATAACAGGAAAGTCGTCCACAGCAAAGAATCACCTGGCCCAATATGTCTGCAGTACTGACATTAAGAAGGCCTACTCTAAATTTTACTAACTTTATGATCAAAAGAGCAGCCAAGATGTAGCATGTTTCCTTTGTATTTCCTTTTTCATAAACTTGCTGAATTTTAAACCTTGTTCATGTTGTCCCTCGGGTTCATAGAAGGAAGCAAGCTTAAACCTGGTCCAGTAGCTCTTCAACATCTTAATTTATGAAAGTTTCAAACCCATCTATGGCAAGAAATGTTGTTGTCTTTCTTCTATGTATGTTTTGAAATCTAGACTTTGTCTAAATATAAAAATCCAAATAGCATCAACTAGATACACTAGTAAATACAAGTAACTTGGCTGTCCTATTGACAAGAAAGAACAATAGTGAATTAAATCTGTTATGTATACTTTACCATGCTCATTGGCTCTTTTAGGAATTGGTTGCCATTCATCCTCTGGAGGAAGAGGAGGAGGGAGGTCAGGGGGCAACACTTCCAAGTCTACAGTGGAGGTCATCTCTGTCATTTCTTTTAGCACAGAAAATATAGGATTAATGTAAAATCTCATAAAACAAGTTAAATCAAAATTAGATTTAAAACATTCAAAAATCACTAAAACTTTAAGAGCAACAGTGGCACGAAAATTTGACAAAAGACACTCAAGTCACATTTCACCCCAATAGCCCATCAGATACCTCTAAAATTAATTATATTGACTGGTTACACTTCTGATACAGCCAGGAATAATTTTCTTTCTAATTAAACATGAAATAAATTTTTCAGGTACATTTGGAAAGTATTACAGAGAAGATATTGAGATAGTTGTCCTAACATAACCAACAGTGATGATAGACAAAAATAACTATGCTTTTCACTGTTACCAAAATAACATATAACATACAAATTAACAAAAAAGATACCTGGAGGTTCCTCAAAATCCGAAGAATTTGACATTATGGACTTATATTTTTGAGGATCTCTTTGTCCCAATGGTGTAGAAGTGTCCACACAGCTATTGGCAGGTGACTGAAGTGGTATTTCTGCCTCCTGACCCCTAGAGTTCAAGAGCAACACAGGTAACCTCAAGCGGGCAGCTACTTATAGTTGTACACTACTAATTCTCTTTGATGAAAACCACAAAGAAACTGTGAATTGATAGCTAGAACCTGTTTCTAATAAGCTTTCAAACATGAAAAGAAGACTTCTGATAGCACTTGATTTGCACATGATCTTCTCCATTGCTCTAAAAATGCAAACTGAATTAGAAAGGTGTGCTATTGTCAAAAAACAAAAATAAAACAACGTAGGCTGATAATTTTTATAAACAAATATGCATGAGTGGGAGACAGAAAAGGCTATGGAAATGAAAAGACTGGTAACCAGAGTAACAAGGAAAGAAATAATATTGAAAATGACAGCTAACTTGTTAATTAAAGGCAGACTTAAGTGACAACCTATGAAATGACATTTCTGGGTAGAAATCAGTATTAAAATCTACATAGATATTGATAGTTTGACCTCGGGCTACTTGGTAACAACACTTTTTAAAGTCAAAGTAAGTTCTATTCATAGATGTATGGCTGGGTAACCACTAAAACTCTAGATATTTGTTATTCACTTGGTTTACATCAACAAGACTCAATATTTGCACATATATAAATAGATAGAGTATATGGACAAAAATGGACATGAGACATTCTCATTTGTGTCACAACCGCATAAAAATTAATGTGTATCTCAGCCAGCTTGGTTGAAACCACACAGGATGCCTCAGGTTCAAGCCCCTTTCCATCCGTCCATGTCTAGTTCCGATCACTGGTCTTACAAGTAATCCTAAAAGTACATCACATTAAATGGTAATTTAATGTCTGAAAGAAGGGCAAGACTGATCGATTAGAATGAATTCTATATCTGTAATATTAACTGTAAGACCTCAATGGAGGCATGAATAAAGAGAGCAGAATTTTAATTTAAAAATATCTCAATTTATTGTTTTTCTGACTAATTTTAGTTCATTTTTATATTGTAATTTCTGGCTCAGAATTTAAAATCTGATTTCAATGTATTAAAATTACCATAGGCCAGGATTCAGATGATTCTTAAAGGTTGAAAAATATTGGTTGCTATTTTTGACTGTCACTTATAAGAGTAAAATATGGCTAATTATATATGGACATATATACGATCTTATTTCTAAATCCATATGTTCTATTGCAATTAAAAGATTTTATTGTTCTAAAATAACTTTTCTATAGCCTTGGGGTAAGATTAATACTGTCTCCATTTGGGTGGCTATATGTCAAAGATAATTCTTTAGTTAATGAGATAGAAGGAAAGCTCTATATGACTTGTGATTTAGGAGCAAAAGGAAAGTTGCATAGCAATGTGCATTAATAATACCACAGAAAGGAAAACAAAGAAAGAAGAGAGTAAAACAACACAACAAAAAAGAAACAAACTATACAAATGTGCTTAAATAATTCAAAGATATGTGAGATTATATGCATTGATCATAGGTAGGAAGAATGAACTACGGAATGTACAAAAAGATGGTTAATATTTTCTTGGTTGTTAAATGTCATATTATATGCATATATTGTATTTATTATGTTTTTAGGGGACTTCCAGGAAAATGGCAGAGCAGTAAGGAGCAGAGAAAAAAGCCTCTCTCAGAGTCATTGACCTGACACTTGAATATAGCATCGTGAGGAAGCCAAGAAAGAAGGAAGTGGGTCCCCTGGTCTCAGGAAAAGGCTGAAGTGTGAATGGAAGAATGCAGAGAAAATAAAAAGAAAAACTTCAGTGAAGAAGAAGGCACCTTCACCCAGAGCTGGACTCACTGAGCGAGAGGAGCTGTTGGAACCTGGGGATGCAGGGTCATGGGGACAGTAGTGGCTGGTGACCCCAAAGGTCTCTCCAGAGAGATACTGCAGTGGAGGGGAACAGCAGACTGGAGGACTGAATTGGCTGGTTGTGAGTGCAGAGGACTCAGTTCTTCCACAGAAGGGAGTAATTGGCCAGGAGCCATTTTGGAGTTAGGCTGGATAAACCCAGAACCAAAACAGCTGCCGGCTTCCTCCAGCAGCTCCCAGCTGAGTTCAGACCTATGGAAATTTCATGGACTGTGGCAAATGCAATAAGTCTAGTCTTGGTTCTAGTCAGGCATACTAAGATTGTCTACCTCTCCACCATAAATCAAATGCTGGCTAGTTGGTATAGAGTGGCATGATTCAGGACTCTGTCCCCACAGGCTGTCTAGAATTAAACCCGAGTGAATCCTGGAAGTGGACTGTTTTTTCTTTTCTTGAATCCTGGAAGAGGACTGCTTGGGGTTTTTTTCTTGTTTATTTGTTTGTTTTGTTTTGTTTTGTTTGTTTTTTTATTTCTCTTTCTCCTTCATTGTTTTTACATGAGTATGAAACTGGTTCCTAAACTCCTTGTGGCTGTGGTTCTGTTCTGTCCTTCCTTTTATCCCTTCCATCTGTCTTTTCCATCAGTCTTATGCACCAGTTTCCCTAGGTCACAGGATCTATCTCTGTCTCCCAACCTCACTTGTAATCTCTTTCTCTTTTTCTACTTCTCTATTTTCTTCTTAATCTATTTTAAATTTTAATCCCAAGTGCAAAATTGACACATTACAGACTTATATATTGCATATAATTATCTGGTTTGTTTTACATTTTGTTGTATAATCACAAATGTGGTTCAAATAGTTAAAAGTTACAAATTAAAAAATTAAAGGTTAGCTCAGTTTGTTGTTTCATAGGCTGTGTTTGATGCTACTGGTATCACTACATCAAAAATTGACATAATTATTCTAAACAACTGTTAGTTCTGAAAATCCATGATTGAGATTCACTAAGGCTCACAGAAAATACTGCGGTACAGTGCCAAAGAGCAGGGACTAGGCCAAATGAGCAACAACTTCTCATCTCCAACAAACTGAAGAGGTAAATCTTCCAACAGACTCAAAACTCAAAACCGAGCTATGCCTTTAAGATACCCAGAGAAACAATCATCACCTAAGGGTCCTAAATACTACCAATAAAACAACCCATCATAAGTAACTTACAAGCGTCACCCCAGGAATTAAACTAAGAAAAGAAATGAAATGAGAAGACACTTTAAATGAGATGCAATCCCAGACATCCAGTTCACCAAAGGCAAACCCAGGGGGCAATGAGGTGGGACAATTTGAAAGCCCCCTACCAGATCTCTCTGAGGTGGTAACAACAAAGCAGTTGAATGAGGCTCTGGAAAAGATGAAATAAGAAATAATCTCTCAGATAACTACAAAGACTAAAAAGTACACACCATGCTTAGTAATGTTAGAGCAGGTGCAGACCAAAAAAAAAATACCAGACAAGTTTAAGAAAATGATGGAAGTGCAGCATGGGAAAGAAATGAAATCCAAAAAGCAGATTCAAGCAGATATTCAGGGCAATAAAACTCCACTGAAAATATATGAAACAGACTAGGCCAATGTGAGGACAGGATCTCAGATATTGAAGACAAGCTTGAAGTTAGTGACCAGGAAAAGAAAGATTTCTCAAAAGTAAGAAAGGACTATGAGAAATCAACCCATCAGTTGGTAAATGAGACAAAGAATAATAATTTAGGAGTAATAGGAGTCAATGAACAAGCAGGAGATACCACAAATGACATTAAAAATTGTTCACAGACATCATGACAGAAAACTTTTCTGGTAGAGAAAACTAATTTAACACACAGATAAATGAGGCATATAGAACAAGTTAGTAGTGATTAAAAAATAATCAACATCCAGGCATATCATAGTCTAGATTCCAGAAACTCAAGACAAGAATAGAACCCTAAAAGTCATTAGAGAAAAAAAAAACACATCACCTATGAAGGAAAGCCCGTCAGAATTACAGCTGAATCCACAGCACATACTGTCAAGTCAAGAACTTGGAATAAAGTACTCCAAGTTCTAAAGAAAAACAACTTTCAACCTAGAGTGATGCACACCAAAAAAAATCTTTCAAAATTGATGGAGAAATAAGATACTTAGCATGACAAAAACATCTGAGGAAATTTATGACCACCAAACCATCACTCCAAAACGTATTTGTTATGTTTTGAAAGAAATTCTAGTAAACAAAAGTAAAAGTAAACATAACTATCCAACATACGGCAGAACTAATGTTGTGGGTAAGTATTTATGTTAAGAACATTCCCCAAGTGTGATACTGCACACCTCTAATCCCCGCATTCAGGAAACTGATACAGGTGAGTTCACCATCAGCCTATAGGGCTACAAGTGAGCTTAAGGCTAGGCTAAACTATGTATTGAGACACCATTTAAAATGAAAACAAAAAGAATGTCATAGTAAAGTTACATGTGAGAACTCACTATTAGACAAATGTATGTGCATAAATGGGGAACTTACCAATTTTTTATTGAGTATGCATCCAATATAATCACTGGAATTAAGTATGCTTTATGACATACAGATATGTTCATGTAAATAAATCAATTGAATCAAAGTACCAGAAAAACAAAAATATAATTCAAAATTAGACAAGGATAGACAGAAAATTGAACTGCATATTTAAAGTGTTGTAGTAGTTTCCTCTGAGATGAGTATAGTTACTGAGTATATTTTTTATTCTCTGATGTAGCATTTAGTGCTTGCTTAGGGAGCACATACACTAAAATTCTATATAGTTTTTTGATTTCCAATAAATAGCATGCTCTACTTTCTAAGAACAGCAATGACATTTGGTCTTTAAGTTTCTTTGAAGGGTCATTGTTAAGAAAAATAAGGTATAATTTTCAATGTTTCCCATTAAATCTCGGAGAAGGTGGTCAAATTCTCCCACAAATCATACAGAAACTTTAAAGTAATTAATAACAAAATTAACATCTAATGACTGGGTTTTTGTTGTTGTTGTTGTTGTTGTTTATTTTTGTCTTTTTGAGACAGGGTCTTGCTATGCAGTTCAGGCTGGCCACAAGCTCATTTTGTAACACAGACTGGTCTCAAATTTGCAACAACCCTCCTGCCTCAACCTCCGTAATGTGAGATTAATGGCAGGTCATATAACATTATAAAAGAATTTACTAATCCATATCGTATTGAAAGTTAAAAACATACAGAACATAAATCTTTTCCTGTGATAATCTGTCACATGAAATAATATTTTTAAAGAATGACTGATATTGTTTCCAAAGCATGAAATTAGTGAGCTCTTTGAAATCTAAGTGTATGTTTTTTCTAAAGTATCATACTGTAGCCCAGAAAGCATCTCATTAAAAACTAAAAATTTTATGTTTATTGTGTACAACCTGATGTTGTGAAATATGTAGTAGCTGTAAAATGGCTGAAATAATTAAAATGCTGAAATCTCATATGTGCATCATTTTACATGGTGAAAACATAAAATTTACTCTTCTTTCAATTTACAAGAATATAATACATTGTTATCAACTAAATCTCCTACCTGAAATTTTACATTATTTCAACAATATCTCTCTAAAGAATCAATGAGCTCCTCCAAAATTCATATGTTGGTATTTAAACTCCAAAGAGATGGTAGGACATGGGGCCATGGGGAGGTGATTAGTCCAAAGGATCCTTACCTCAAAAATGGGATTAATACCTTCACAGAAGGCATTCTTGGTCTTACAATTTTTTCTGCCATATGATGATACAGAATTTTTCTCTCTTTGTTTGTCAGATGAAACCACAGCAAAAAGATGCTATGTTGAGAATAGGCCTTCACTGGACCCTAAATCTGCCAAGCTTGATCACTGGCTCCAGAGCTTCCTGAACCCAAAGAAAATATATTTCTGTTCTTTACATCAGAAAGAACGGCTATAGCTTATTGTGCAGTCTCAGGTATTCTGTAATTGCACCACAAGTGGGCCAAGACATTCCTTAACCTCTAAATAAATTTCAGAGGCAATTTTATTGTTTACTTAAAAACCTAATATCACCTTCTCCTTCAGCCTTTCCCACTTCATATGACAAACATGGATTTGCTTTTCAAATGCACTGTCTTGGATGTCTCACTAAAACTACTAGCAGTTTCATATAAAAATTCTTCTATAATCAAAAAATACTATGTTAGATTATCATATCCTCCTGGATTGTGTTATTCAAATAGGATTCTGCTCTGTAAATTAATTGACCTGAAATTCAGCAAATGTCTATGAGCCAAGACAACAACAAAACAAAAACAGTATGGCAGCAGAGGATTCATAGGCCACTTCTAAAGACAGCTATTGGGTATTGGTCTGTTCTAAATTGCTACAGCAAAATTTCTTAGTCTGGGTATCTTTATAAAGCAGAAAAATGGATTTAGCTCACAGTTCTGGATGTTCAAGAGCACAGTGCTGGCATCAGCTTAGCTTGAGTGAGGACACCATGGCTCTTGCATCACATTCAAGGAATCACATGCAAGAGCAAGAGACCACGTCATAAGTTACAAAGCCAGATTGAGGGGAGTGAGGACTCCAGTAGTGGGCTTCCCCTAGATCCTCTAAAATATATCTCACCAAAGACCAGATTCTACTCTGTAAAAGTTTGGGGTTAGACCACAGTACTCAGAGAATGAAAATCAAATTTCTCTCTGACAGATTTAGAGAAAAAGAAAAAACAAACATAATACTACTCAGACTTTCACTGTCATCAATATGCAAATAATTTAACTATCAAACTGACACTAGCTTCCATATATGTTTTCAAATTATAAAAAGATGTATTAGAATGATTCATGACATTTGTTAACATAACCTCTTTTACATATTAAGTGAATTCACCTTAACATTCAACCATTGAAAGGGAAGCAATTCTCCCTAACTCATTCCTGGAAACAAGTATTATCCTAATACCAAAACCAGAGAAAGACCCAGACAAAAAAGGGAATTATAGGTCAATCTCCCTAATGAAAGTTTATGGCACAAACCAAGAGATACAGGATGTTCCATGTTATATATAAAGTCAAATCTTAGAGAATAGTCTTGAGAACTAAAGAGGGGCCTTAAAAGAAAAAATGTTAAAATCCTAATATTCTGGAAGAAAAAAGAAGCAAAACTCATCCAAGCCTGAAGTGCAGGTGAAGTATACTCTATGCTTCATGCTAGAATATACTGATAAGCAGATTTTCAAATGATAACGTAAGTGAAATTAGGTGTGTACTAAAGGAAACAGAGAATGAGTTCTTTTCTACCTAATGAACTTTATGACCTTTTTAAAATTGAAATCTACCCCAGATAAATGCAGGGAAGGTGACCACATATTTTTCTTAGCAATATTATACTAGTTTTGAGGATGGATTAAATACATTAAGCATTTTCATTCAATGTTCAATACTGATTTGTATTCTCTAGAAAATGGGCAGGTCCCTTTAAATTATCTCCTCCATTCATCTCTCTTTAAAAAAAAGAAAAAAGAAAACCACACATCTCTCAGTAACAGCAGATACAAATGGTGAAGCTTGAAGCTCAAATATGAATCGCTGTCTCATATCATTGCTTGTGGTTGAAAAATACTGAAGTCCCTGAATAACAGGAGCAGAGAGGACACCAGGAAGAATCATCTTCTAGTGTATCTCACAGGCACCGAGGCTCAGCTCTTCCACCTGGACCAGACCCCAGGGGCAGCAGAAACCATAAACGGACGCAGGTATCGTATCACCAAGGTGGATCCAGTGTGCTTCGTGATTATGGTACACAGCACAAAGAATGGATATTTTTAATTCAGTAAATTCTATCTTGAAGACAATAATGTTGTCCAAGTCAGACTTAGATGTTCTTTTATGAGTGGATTATGCCCTTTAAATGTTTCAGTACATCATTAATATAACAGTTCATTTAGCAAATATTTCCAATACTACTTTGGTACTGACCAAGTGTTATTAAAGCAATTTCTATTCTTACAATAGTGAGGGTAAAGTTTAAGCACTTCAAGTGATTATTTAATTATTTATATATTATTTTTTTGTAATACTTTCTGTGTTTTATATCTATATCTATAATTTTCCTATTGGTTAATATAGCTTCCACCTTACTGAGATATTTCTATAATATTGTGTTTCCTTATGAAAAGTTTCATCATGAAAAATTATTCAGTGTTACTAAATGAATGTTTAAGCACAGGTAAATATATGGATACAGATGTAGACATAGATACTATTTAAAATGGTATTTATAAAAGATTTAGTAGGTTTTAACTCCTGAAAATACAGCTTGTGAAGAACATATAATCTGAGGGTTAAGGGTATAGCTCATCAGTACCAGTGCCTGGCCAGTGCAAGGTTGTGAGTTTGATCCCCAGTACCAAAAAAAAAAAAGATAGAAGAACATATAATTTGATGGTATACTGGAAGTGTAATTTTTTAAATGTTTATGGAGTCAGAATTCTACAATTTTTTGTTATAAAAACATTATCTAAATGCTTGAGACAAACTTTTTCAGAAATTTTCAAGTAAAGTAACTATTTCAAAAAATTGATTGGTTTTTTCAAAAAGAAAATTCCAGTGTTACAGGTATGACACAAGACTACAATTAAACCAATTTCTGCTCCAAGTGACATCTGTGACACATTGGAAAGGTGGCAAGAACTCTTTAGAAGTAAGGCAAGTAAAATGTTTGAGTCTTGCAAAATAATAAGAATTATAAAGATGACAATATTTTGAAAAAATGTTCTAGAGAGAACAGGAAGCAAATTTTTAAATAATTTCTCAATAATCCATGTTCTATATTTACAATGTAAGTGACTCAAAAATATTTCCTTGATATTATTATGAATGCATATAATTTTTCAGGGACATGTAAATGTATCATAGATCACAAAATTTATTCCTTCAAAATTAAAGAATATAATATAAAAATAATAAAGCAACATAAGTAGAGAATCCAACATTGTGGTTGAAATCACAATACCCATTTATGTAAATAAACATATAAATAGCTGATAATTTTAAGAATATGAAGAACATCCAAGGGAAAAAGATCTTCCTTGGAGGGAAAAAGTAAAACTTCAGACATCACTGGTAAGTGAGATGAAATATTCACCTCAATGTCATACAGAGAACTCAGGACAGCGCCTGAAATTTTGGTTTGAAAACTGTTAGTTTATATATCTTTTAGAATCATATCTGCAAATTTCTCAGAGATGGATGAAGAATTCCCAACATATGCACAGTTGAAGAAACCTCTTACTTCCAAGAAGCATATGCAAAAGAATAGTGAGTATTTTTCCTCCCCAACTTCTACACAGTTTTGATTATTTTCTGTAAATAAATGTTTGAAAGAATTCTATTATAGTTTAGAATATGATTTGTATCTACTTCATTTCTAAGATTTTATGACCTAAAAAATTTCCATGATAGACTTTACAGAAAAATAAGAAAATGTTTGCATAGCTTTCCTGTATTTGAAAGAAATCCTGCGTTAGCTCGCTTTACACACTGTAGCCCACATTCTTTCAGAGAAACACCGAATATGAAACAGTATCTTCACCTTTGTTTATATCAGCAGAGGAAAAAGAGCAGCCAGTTTACTCTGAAGTGAAAAAAAATCCTTTACACATCAACCAAACAAAGATAAAAACTGAATCACCTAAAGAAAAAGGTAAGGGCTCTGCAGCTTCTCTATCCTTCATAATCTTAGCCTATGTGTAAGCAATTAAAGTAAATCAGAAACGACTGCTGTAAATAACCAGTTAGCTTACTTCACTTCATCAGACAGCTCAAACTACATCCAAAAATATAAATGAAAAAGAAAAACTGAAAGCCAAACACCCATTTAGTGTATAAAAATTTAAAATATCATACCAAAACGATTTATGTGCACTCATGTTTATAGCAGAAAATTTGTTAACTCTTGAAAAGAAACTGACGTTTCAACTGAAGAATGGATCAACAAAACTGTGTTTTTAATATATATAATGCAGTACTAATCAGACATTTATAGATAAATACATGCCCCTTGAGATCATAGCCATAAGCTGATATAAATCAGATGCATATACATAACCATAGTATTGTCTAACTAAGTGTGAAAAGCTGAATGAGTAAATAAGATTCAAAAGGGACAGTGGATATTGTGAATTGGTAAGAAATTATTTAAAAGAAAAGAGTAACTGATGGGGGATGAAGAAAAGAAGGAACAGAAAAGGGAAATACATACATGTATATGTATACACACACACATATATATATGTATGAATATACAAGATAGTTAAGACAGTAATACAGTGAATTTCTCTTAGTTGACTGAGAAGAAAAATTGGTGTTAGTACTTTTGGGCATATTTCATGCCCATATATTGCACTCTGAGTAACTTCTATGAAGATAAACATACACAATGAGTTAATTGTTGTTACACTATTAGTGTAATGTGAAACTGTTTTATTTCTATTTTCCTTCTTCTCTTTAAAATTAAAAATAATACAAGTTACATATATCACAAAGAATACTGGTGTAGTTACGTTCCAGTTTCTATATATACTGATCAAAACAAAAATTAAAGTTTTCCCTTTGTTTAAAAACAGTGGTAAATCTCCAACTGTTGAACATGCGTTCTGTGAAATTTCACCAAACTGTATTATGATTAGCAGTATTTGTCATACATTTGTGATTATCGTTTCTTCTGTACATTACTGTGGCTATTCTTTATGATGAAGAAAAGTAGACCAATTCCAACGTGAAAGTTTTGATTTGTATATAAGTATAGAGGCACAAGGTATTTATTAAATAATATCCCTTCTTATTGGTTAATGAAATTAACTTATACAACAGTATTTTAGAAAAATTTCCTTTCGTATTCATTTCTGTACATCCAATATTCTAGTTTGCCATTCCGAAAATATTGACCAGGGGATTACATTGGTACAAAGCGACCTCCCTAGAGATGCGCGGTAACTATAGTGAGCAGAGCTCGGTACCTGACTCTCACTTCAGTGTTCTTTCACGCTGGTCCTTATCTATTTCCAGTTTGAAAGCGCCCAAGAGCTAGGGTGCTGAGCTTCAGGGATTTCTTCCATAAACCTGCTGTGTCATTCAATCCTCTCTGCCTCTTTCTTTCTGGCTACAGAGTCTTCAGTTCCCATAGCCTGGCGGTGCACAGTAGTGATTCTTGCAGGCTTGTGCTTCTTTCTCCTTTTGACAAATGGAGTTCTGGGTTTCATGGGTAAGTCACTAGGTATGGAGCTTAAAATAATTGTCTCCTCATAAGGAGGTACTTTATTGTATCATCATTTATTTGGACATTTAAATGCATTTTCCCAAAGAGTCATTAATTTGGTTTGATGTGAAATTATTCTAAGTAATTCCAAACTACCCATTGCCTGTACCTGAAGGTATTGTAATATTAAGGAAAATGTATAAAGTAAGTACCATTACATAATTATATAGGAAGAGACAAACTGACATCTCTCAAAGGAAGGTAAATATCTAAATTAATATAAAAATACAGAAAACTAAACAATGAATTTGAAGTTCAAAAACATCAATTTTGCTATTTTAGCTATTTTTGTCTGTTACTCATAAGTGTTTCATGTTTTACAGCAGCATGCTGTAGAACTGACTCCTTTAAAGCATGATTATTTGTTTCTACTGCAAAATTGATCTGTTGATCCTGCAAAATTAAATATATAATTATAATAGTATTTTCAAGTATCTGAACTGATAAACTTAATATATGTGAGTCATACAAAAATGCAATTATCTTTTGTTTCCCTAAATCTGTATTCTGAAAATTATGAAACCATATTTAAATCTCATTTTGTATAATCTCATTAAGTACATGCAAGACTATAAACTTTGTTAATACTTTCTGTTAATACTAACAGAAATTTTTTGCCTCAAAGATCATTGTTTCAAATTTTTGTCTACGTCAATAGAGATCTTAAGCTAACAAAAAGTTTTATTTAGAATATAGATGTACTGGAAAAGCCTAGAATTTTATGAATATGTGCAATCTTTTTGTACAAATTTGTTTTAGATGCTTCTCTGTTTTATTTTTAGTTGTCTTTTTAAAATTAAATTAACTCTTAGCTGACATAAAAAAGTACGAATACTAATGAATTAATGTGATTTTTTAATAAACCTATTGTGTAATCAGGATAAATGTATCAAAATCCTCAAACATTTAGCAATTCTTTATGACTAAACCATTCCAAAGGCATTCTTCCAACTTCTTGACTTATACAGTGCATAGTTGCTATCAATATGAGCAGAACTGTTTTCAGTCTCGCTGTTTGAATCCCCATTTGTATGTTTCACTTTTGTATCTTGAACAACTATTTTTAAGAGGACAATATGTAATCATCAAGTAGTGATTTCTTACTGTTTATTTTTTTTCTTTGAAAGTATGTATTATTTCTATCCATTTTCTGTTTTATTTAGTTTTTCTTTAAATAAAATTTTTAAAAAATAGTCACTAGACATCATGGTGCAATAGCAGGTCGAACCTTCCTAGTCTTATCTTACCTGATGTTTCCCATTGATGCAGATAATCATATTTCTTTTTTCATATGGCTGAAAATTGTTCCATGGTGTATATGCACCACATTTTCTTCAGGGAATCATCAGCTTCTGTTTCCTGATGATTGTGACCAGTGCTGCAGTAAATGTGGGGGTACTGAGGTCTCTTCAACATAGTGCTTTCATTTCCTTCAGATATCCAGGACTGAAACTGCTGAATCAAATAGTAATGCTAGTTTTTAATTTTTTGAGAAACCTTCACATTAATTTCCATAATAGTTTTACTAATTTACACTCCTGTGAACAATAGTTAAATGTTCATTTTTCTCCACATCTTCTCCGGTAATCACTATCTTTTTTTTTATAAAATCCATCCTTACTGGAGTGAGATCAAGATCTGATTGTGTCTTTGGTTTACATGACTCTGCAGCTTAGTGGTAATAACTGTTTTATCACATAATGTTGGTCAATTGTATGCCTTGTATTGAGAAATGTCTATCTAAAAGTATTGTCTTTTTCTAAAAATCTGACTGGGTTTTTTCTCTTGCTTGTTTTTATTGCTGTTTTCTTTAAGTTAGATTTTTGGATTTCCCTACATGTGCCAGTTACTAACCCGTAGTCAGATGTATAGTTTATAAATATTTTCTCTCATTATATACGTTTTCTTCACTCTGATTATTGCTTCTTTACTGTACTGAAACTTTTTAATTTCATTGGCCGATTATTTTGCTTTTTTCTTGTCCTTTTATCCAAAAATATCCTTGCCTGTTTCAATGTCGTAAAGCATTTACTGTATGCTTTCTTTTAGTAGTCTCATATTTTCAGGTCTTATACTTTTCTTTAATCCTTTTTTACTTGATTACTGTAACAAATGAGAAAGAAGGGACCAGCTTTCATTCTTCAACATGTGAAGACCCAATTTGCACAGCACCATGTACTATAAAGACTGTTCTTTCTACAGCATGTGTCCTTAGAAACTTTGTCAAAAAAAATCAATCTGTTACGATACACGGACTGAAATTTAGGCTTTCAGTTCTGTTCCTTTGGCCAATGTGTTTGTTTTCATATTATGATTACTATAGCATTGTAGTATATTTTGAACTCATATAGCTCAGTACTACCTACTATGTTATTTTTGCTCAGTACTGTTTTGGTCACTCAAGGTATTTTATTGTTTTGTTTCGGTTTGGTTTTGCTACCATAATATTTCTTGTTTTCTTCTAAGTAGTTGTTCATATCTTCACACACTGTGAATTCATACAAAACAAAATAGTATCATACTGATCAAAACAGAGTAATGAAGGTATTACAGGCCTTCAAAACCAGACAATAGGAAAATCAACAATAGCCGCCATAATGTCTCTTGTTCTCCTCAAAATAGCTGTCCACATCTTCACGTATGTTGAAATAAAACAATACAAAACAGACTAAAAACACGCTGAACAAAGAATAAAGCATTACTGGATTTCCCAGCAAGATGATATCAAATCAGTAATGGATACCATAATGTCTCTTTGTCTTCAACGTAGCTGTTTGTTTCATCGTGCATAATATAATCGATTCTCATAAACTGTTTAGGATAAGTTCTAAGCATGTATAAGCCTCTACACATATACCTATCCTCTCTGTATTAGAGGAAAGAACAAAGCAAAACAAAACAAAACAGGTTACTAGAAAAACAAAAAGGGCAAATAAATAACAAGAGCGAAGACCTCAAAACAATGACAATATACGCCTTCAAAACAAGGAGGTAGGAGTAAAACTAGGGTTGTTACTTTACATAACGATCTTCAAGAGTTCCTCAGATCACCAGACACAAACACGCAAAATTGTTCCACTCCTATGAAAGTTAACTGTTTTGTTCCAAGAACTTATAGAATTCATAGCACAATCATCTTAGCTATCCTAAGTGTGTTTATGTAATTTTAGATATTTTTTCTTTTCCCTTCCTTTTTCTTTTCCCTCTTTTCCCCTGAGATATTACTTTTCCCCTTTGAGCATATTCTTATCCTTTCCCTGTATGATTGAGGATTTTGTATCTTAAGTACTCTTATTATTTCTTACACTAGGGAGACTACCGTTATTTACACACGTGAGTTTGATTTGTTTCACTCATGAGTATTCTCTCAAGTTTCATCCATTTGCTTATAAATATCTCAATGTGATCATTCTTTATACCTGAGTAGTACTCCATTTTATAAAAATACCACATATTTTTATCCATTTCTTAGTTAATGGACACTTAGGTTGTTTCCAAGATCTGGCTATTACAAATTGTGCAGCTATAAACATGGGTGCACATATATCACTGTGGTATGTTTTCTTTTCTTCTGGGTATATGACCAGAAGTGGAATAGGTGGGACAAGTGGGACTTCCAATCCCAGCTTTTTGAGGAACCTCCAGACTGACCTTCATAGTGCTTGTACCAGTCTGTACTCCCACCACCAGTGCAAAAGAGTTCCTTTTTCCTCCCCTGAGCCTCTCCAGCATTTGTTGTTGGTAGTTTTCTTTATCCTAGCCATTCTTTCTGGAGTGAGATGGAATCTTAGTGTGGCTTTAATTTGCATTTCTCTAATGACCAGTGATGCTGAACATTTTTTCATGTATCTATTTGCCATTTTATTTCTTTATTTGAGAACTATATATTCATTTCAGATGCCCATTTTGGGTTGGGTCTTTAGATTTCAGGGATTCGATTTTTTTTAATTCTTTACATGTTCTAGACAGAAGTACTTTGTCTGAGAGACAGTTCACAAAGATTTTTTTTTCTGGGCTAGGGATTTAGCTCAGCGGCATAAGCGCCTGCCTTGCAAGCAGGCAGTTGTGAGTTCGATCCCTAGTACCAATTTAAAAAAAAAAAGTTCTTTTTTTCAATTTGTGGGTTTTCTTTTCACTATGCTGCAGATTTCTTTTGACATGCAAAAACTTTTTAATGTGATGTAATCCCAGTTTTTGATTCTGGGAAGTATATTCCATGCAGTTTGATTTTTGTTCATGAATTCTTTTCCTACCCCTATGTATTCCAGATTCTACCTACTTTGTCTTCTAACACATTTAATATTTAGATCTTCAACCCATTTAGACTTTAGTTTAGTACATGGTGATAGGCATGAGTCTAGTTTTAGTTTTTGGCATATGGAGAGCCAGTTTTTCCAACACCATTTATTAAAGAGACAATCGTTTTTGCAGAGAACATGTTTGGCTCCTTTAACAAAATAAGGTGCCTGAGTGTGTTTGTAGTTGTAGTTGGATCTCCTAATCTATTCCATTGATCTTCAGGTCTGTTTTTATCCCAGGACCATGCTGATTTTATTGCAGCAGTTTTGTAGGATAACTTTATAGGATAAGCTTCAAGTTAAGCATTGTGATGCCTCTTGCCTTTCCTTTGTTGCTCAGAATTGCCTTTGCTATTAAAGGCCTTTTCTGGTCCCAGATGAATTTAGAAATGATTTCTCTAGATCCTTGAGGTATGCTGATTGTGTTTTGATTTAAATTGCATTAAACCTGTATACAATTTTGGGAGAATGATCATTTTCACAATATTTGTTCTTTCTATCCATGAACAAGGAATGTCTTTCCATTTTCTGAGATCTTCTTTGATTTCTTTTTCAAGGTATTATAATTTTTCCTGAATAGTTTTTGTTCTTTTGTTAGACTGATTCCTAAGTATTTCATAGATTTAGATGCTAGTATGAAAGGTGTGG